CCATATTAAACAAATACATCCTAAGGTTACCCGGGTCCACGTTTTGGGGCCACGCCCCCTTTATATATCAAAATATTTTTTACCCTGTGACCATCCCTGGAAGATATCCTGTGCCTGTGTAAAATTTGGTTACGATCGGCTTATTCGTTTAGGAGCCAAGTGTGTCTATAGGTACATACATAATTTGAATTTTATATATATAGATTAATACCAATGAAGCAAATGTGATTTATGTTTAAAGTTTAAAATTGGATTAATAATTAAGAAATATACCATCTTCGTTATTTGAATAGCGCATCCTTTAATACTTAGTAGGTACAGTTTTCGTTTTGTTTGTTTAATATTCATTAACTTTTTATAAAAATATAGCATATTCTACGTCTACATCCCATTTAAAAAATTTTTGAAAATTAAAAAAAAAATAAACATAGGGGCGACATTTTTTTTTGTTGACGGTGCTGCGCATTTTCTTCCATATAAAAATTTTGTCAAGCATACTTTGTATGGTAAAAAATCAAAAAAAGGGTACGCTATTCAAATGACGAGGAATGTATATATGTAGTATATTTTTGTTATTTTTATACAACGCAATTATATGTAGGTAAAATTGTCCTGCATTTTCAAAATATATTTATGGTCACCGTAGTTATATAGGATGTGGGCGTGGTTATTCTTCGATTTTAAACATTTTTACCAGGATCAACAACTGCGCCAAGTTTAGGAGAAATTGGTGAAGTGGTTACCGAGATTTACACATGTAACCGTAAGTGGGCGGGGCTAAGCCCATTTTCCACAAATGTATAATATTCTTATATTCCGCCAAGAGATCATTATAAATTAATTTTGAGTAAATAAACTTCAGTAGTTACTAATATATCAATACCATCCGTCCTTAGATCAAAGGAAGTACGCATACCAAGTTTACGTTCACGCACGCGCACGTTGATGGTTTTGTAAATCACTCCCACTCACGTTGTTATATTTCTTTCAATCACATAATTATTATTATTATATATTTTTTTTCAGATTGAAACTTTATTTATATAAATAGAATTTCTTATATATATTGTTACAAAAGATTGGCCAAACACCTTGCCTGGGATGAATGCATTATTATTTATTTTTTTTTTTACAAATGTCAAATATACGTACCTACATATCGTCACCTGAAACGCAAAAAGACGTAACAACATCGTAAATTAAATGGAAAAAGTCGTGACTAATATTTTAATTATTTGTTTTTTTCATAAAATGATGCGGATAGTTGTAATTCGATGATTTATATGAATAAATCAAAAAGTGAATTTTGAATTTGTTATTAGTTATGACTTTTTGCATTTCAAGGATTATGTTTGTTACGTCTTTTTGCATTTCAGGTGACGATATGTACATATGTATGTCTTACGAGTATAGAAAAGAATTCACATCAATATTCATTCAATGTAATTTTAAAATGACTAGCTCATATTTTTGTTTAAAAATAATATTTTGTCGAGTTTATCACCAAGCAGTCGTGTACGTCTTTCTTCTAGAATTCTGCCTGAAACAGAAAAAACTCGTTCAATAGGTGCTGAGCTAGCTGCTACATGTGTGTAAAATTTGCCTTGAAAAGGTTCTAAGAAGTGAAAAATCTGTAGCTCTCCCAAATTAAAAAAAAATCGTCACAACTTTTGTTTTCTGATTTTTTCATGTAAATCTGTATTTTTATAATTTTTTGGTCCTTCTGATCCTGCAAGCCTTAGACAGAGAAACTATAGAAACCAAGCTAGCAATCAGGCTACCTAATGACACTTTTATGTACTACAAGCAACGAAGAGACGATGCCACTTTTTCGCATGCCACAGGGGACAGAGCGCGCGAGTCAGACTGAAAGCTGGAAAATAGCCTTTTACCTGCCGATAAAATCCACTACAAATAAGAAGATTAAAGACAACGAAATTAAGCCGCTATCAGAAATAAGTGGTCATCTGCATAAGCTAGGAATTCGGCCGCATGATCTCTGATGCTTTTGAGATATTTACTATTTATTTATTTATTTATTTATTTATTTATTTATTTTTTACAGTCTGTTAGACTTATATTGCAACAAAGATTTAACATTCTTATAATTAGATTTAGATTTAGAATGTAAATATTAAATATTAAATACAAAATGCTCTACGGAAATTTTTAAATAACATTATTTCTTTATCACTGCAATTATTTTATGTCAATATACACGCATGCAATTTTCTGGAAGTTATGTAGGCGGTTGTAAAGGCCGAGTTTCCAATCCGCGCTATTCTTTTTGGGTTACTCCATTTATTGATATCTCCTGGGTGGTCGAAAAGGCCGAGTTTCCGATCCACCCAGTCGCGCTTTCGTGACGGTTGGAAAGGCCTAGTTTCCAATCCGCTCGTTTATTGTTTATTATCTA